CCGTTAACTAAACGAGGACTGAAACAAGAACACATTCTCCATCCCTGTCCCCAACCCCGCCCAATCCCCTCCGGGCCTTGCTCGGCTCGGCTCGGCTGCATTTTTATATTATACTATTGTATCACATGAAGCTTATCCAAAACTCTATAGAAGATGCTCAAGTTCACACAGGTTAATTTTGGGCTTAAGAAATTATATTGGGCTAAGCCCAGTATTCCAGAATTACATTGGGTTTAGCCCAGTATTCCAACGGCCCAGCCCAACAGCGTTTATTTAAAAAATTAGGAAAAAAGAAAAGGATTTTAAATTATAGCCGGCTTATTTGCCATCCATTTTCACGCCTGATTCCCTTCGTTTATAGCAGTTCAGTAGCTCCATCACGCCTTGCCGCCGCCTCCTCCTCCTCCACGGCGCTTACTGCTGGCGCCGTCCTCCGCCGCATCTCTTCTTCGCCCATCTTCTCACCCATTTCTGTTCTTAGGTATTCTCTCTATCTTCCTTATTCATCTTACAAGTTTCGATTATTACAATGGATGAACGTCTGTAAGCTCAAACCGATGGAATCGGACACCGGTTTTGCGTAATCGTGAACATTGCTTCGATTGTTCATACTTAAAAACAATCGATTTTGGTGTTGGTTTAGTTAAAATGGAAGCTCAATGTTCTCTCTCTCGGTTTTGCCCAAATCTGTCCATTCCGTTGGTTCGATCTCCTAAACATCCGATCCTTTTGAAGTTTCCTTCCTATTCTTCTCGTTCGTCCTTTGTCCGAACCAATCATTCCACTTCGAGTAGTGTTTGGTTCAAGGAGAATATCGCATGTAGAAAGAACTGTGAAATCGTTGCGAGTGCCAGTCTCGAAGGGGATGTTTCAAGAACTGTGATTAGGAAAAAGAAACTTGCTGTTTTTGTCTCCGGTGGAGGCTCCAACTTTCGTTCAATACACGAGGCGTCTGTAGAAGGATCAATTCATGGAGAAATTGGTGTTGTGGTTACTAACAAAAGTAGTTGTGGTGGTGCAGAATATGCAAGAAGTAAGAACATTCCAGTAATTTTGTTTCCCAAAACAAAAGATGAACCCCATGGCTTATCTGCTTCTGATCTTGTAGCTACCCTTAGAAGTTTTGAGATAGATTTCATTCTTCTTGCTGGATACTTAAAACTTATACCCCTGGAATTGATCCAAGCCTATTCCAAATCTATAATAAACATACACCCATCACTTCTTCCTGCTTTTGGAGGCAAAGGGTATTATGGAATGAAGGTGCACAAGGCAGTGATTGCCTCCGGAGCTCGATTTTCCGGTCCGACGATTCATTTAGTCGATGAGAACTTTGACACTGGAAAGATTCTTGCTCAAAGAGTGGTTCCTGTGCTTGCAAATGATGCAGCAGAGGATCTGGCAGCTAGAGTTCTTAAGGAGGAGCATCGTCTTTATGTCGAGGTAGTAGCAGCGTTATGCGACGATCGGATCGTTTGGAGAGAAGATGGTGTCCCTCTCATTCAAAGCAAAGACAAACCTGGTGAGTTTTACTAGTGAACTGAAAAATGCTTGAAATTTGAGGCTCGGGTGTTTAGTAGTTCAAATGAGATCCATGTTTCTCAGATTCTCTGTAATAATAATATCTGCAAACCAAGAAGTTTGAGCTTCTTCTGCATAAAATAAAGTAGCAGCCTGCCCTGTCTTGGAAGGGTTCATTGAAACAGTTGAGGAATCATTTGACTATGTATAACACAGTTCTTAGTTTTGTGTCATCTGTAAGCTGTACCCAGGTCTGAGCTGATTTTTGAACTCTGTGGGCTTTCATAAGAAAGCTAACTAATTGTTCCCCACATTTGTCTTCAAAGGCATTATCTTGTCATTTAAGAGGTGGGCTTGTTGTCTTCATTTGTTTTCAAATGCATTATCTTCTCTTCTTTTCTCTTCTATCATGTTCTTGTGTTCGTAGTTCGTTCTGTAGATTGTATAATCGTGTTCTTATGTTCTCAATTCGTTCTATAGATTGTACAATCATGTTCTTGTGTTCTTGGTTCTTATAATTGTATTCTTGTGTTTTTAGTTAGGATCTGTCTTATAGATTGTACAATCGTGTTCTTGTGTTCTTAGTTCTTATAATCTTGTTCTTGTGTTCTTAGTTCTTATGATCGTGTTCTTGTATTTTTAGTTCTATTAATCACATTCTTGTGTTCTTAGTTCTTATAATCGTGTTCTTGTGTTCTTAGTTCTTATAATCGTGTTCGTGTTCTTAGTTCTTATAATCACATTCTTGTGTTCATAGTTCTTATAATCGTGTTCTTGTGTTCTTAGTTTTGAGGAGATCGACTCTAGTTTCCATTTGTTTTTTTAAACCGAAAACTTCTTTGTTCGATCCAGATTCTTATCTTTCAACTTCTTATCTTGTATTCAAAAGCATAGAATATACAACTTTTTAATGCTTTTGGGATGGAGTAGCAACTCCCCTTCAAAAGGCAATCGAGGGCTCGTGAGTTTTACTCGTTAAAGACTAATGTTTTAAACGTGTTATTACTCGTACATCAAATTACAAATACTAGTTATCATTTTTGTCGTTGAAAGAACAAAAAACTCATCAAATATCGACCAGAAGAGCGGGGAGAGTCATGAAATGAATAAAGTTTCCTTTGCTAGTGTTAGAGCAAACGGGATTTATAACGAGATTCTTTAAAAAATAACTTCTTGCATTCGTAGATAAGATTCACTTTTATTCCTATTCTATTCTTATGATTTCACATCATTAATTTGTGTAACAACTTGTTTGACCTAAAATAAATCGTAGTATATTCAATTGTTCGTTAAATACGTTGCTAGAAAAAAAAACCACATGTAAAAGATGGAATTAAATTTTAAAAATTAGAAAATAAATTTAAAAAATGACACAAATATTACCGACTAAATCTAATTTAAAATGTACAAATAAAACCAAATAAAATGTAATTACATCGTAAGTATAAAAAAATAAGATTAAATAAAATAATAATAAGTATTCCGTACATCGGAAATCGGGTGGCATTTCTCGGGGCTCCGGATCCGACACACCACGACTTCTATGCGCTTAATTTGGGGGAGAGGAGAGGAGACGAGACGAGAACGAAGAGCGACATCTGGGCTTGGAAGCTGATCTTTGAAGCTTTGAGTGAAACTCAAATTACAAGAATTGTTAGGGCGAGGAATCAAGACGATGAGTCGTGGAAGTGGAGGTGGAGGTGGAGGTGGAGGTGGAGGTGGATATGACAACCAAAACACTAATTTCTCGCCCGAAGCTCGACCTTCTCAACTGGGTACGTTGCTGTTTATCTTCTTTCCGTTCATGATTCCTCCATCGAGTTCCTACTTTTTTTTTCCACTTTCATTCAATTGTTTCTGGATGATTTCTCAGACGATTTTAGGGCATTTAATTTTACGGGTCGAATTTGTTCGTCATTTGATTGTTATTTTGATTTTGATGGTTTCTATTTTGAATTGCTGACTCTTGAAACAAAATCGTAGCATGTAATTTAGAAATTTCGTTTTCTCGCGTCACTTGGATGTTTGAAGTTGGGAGAAACTAGGCTGGAAAAGTGGGAATAGTGTGAAATTTTAAGTTTGAGAAGCCGATTTGTTGTCGTTCTCTGTTTATTTTCAAGCTTCAAGATTGAACTATGGATTTCAAAATCAATTTCGAAAGACATTGAATTCATCTCTAGAGTATGCTGTATCTGAAAGTTGCTGGAATTATCATACCGGAGATGAAATCCTATTCGATCACTGAACTGTTTATTTTGTTCACGTTGTTACTTAAACAATCAAACGATGAGAAAAGAGCAAAACATAAGTACAAAGCATATGAAAGTCTAGGAACTTATAATTGTTATTGCCTTCTTCAAATAATGCTCTACTTCATAATTATCAAACGTGCAATGTAAAACAAGCTGGTTATGTTTGATAGAATATCAGTTTAGCAGATTGCAAGAATGATTGAAATCTCTTGTGCAGGTGACAGGGGCGTTAAGGAGATGTCTGAGGGAGACGAGGACCTGCCAAGGGATGCAAAGATTGTGAAAACACTTCTGAAATCAATGGGAGTTGAAGATTATGAACCCCGAGTTATACACCAGTTTCTTGAGCTGTGGTATCGTTACGTCGTTGACGTATTGACAGATGCGCAAGTATACTCGGAGCATGCTGGCAAGGCTGCTATCGACTGTGATGATGTGAAGCTTGCTATCCAGTCCAAAGTTAATTTCAGCTTCTCTCAACCTCCTCCAAGAGAGGTAAGATTGCTTAATAGTCCCATTGGAAGCTTGAAGTATCTGCATGGGAAAGAAATGTAGTCTCGAATAACGAGATTTAGTGTAACGGCCTAATCCTCTTTGGGCTTTCCCTTTCGGGTTCCCCTCAAGGTTTTTAAAACGCGTCTGCTAGGGAGAGGTTTCCACACCCTTATAAAGAATGTTTCATTCTCCTCCGCAACCGAGGTAGGATCTCACATTTAGATGGGAGTAATACTAGATCATATTCACGGATTTTTGCTATCTTCTCTCCTATTGAAGGAAAAGTGTTTTAACCATGTGTTTCTTTTTTGTTAGGTTCTTCTAGAGTTGGCTAGAAACCGGAATAAAATTCCATTGCCAAGGTCAATTGGCGGGCCTGGTATCGCGCTCCCACCCGATCAAGATACATTGCTCAGTCCCAACTATCAACTGGCAATCCCGAGGAAGCGACAAGTCGAAGCCATGGAGGAAACAGAGGAGGACGAAGGTGTCGACGCAGTTCCATCCCAAGAACCCAGCACAGAAGTACCTCAACAACATACCCCACAGAGAGTATCTTTCCCTTTGTCTAAACGTCCAAAAATAACATAGCTGTTTTTCCTCCTTGTTTCGCTTTCCTCTACTTCCCCAATTAAAAGGGTCTTTGAAATTTCATATAGATTCACTCAAAGTTGGGGGAGGTATTGTTGGATGTTATCAATCTATTGTATAATACTGTGTTTAAGAATGAACTCCAAACAAGAATGCTTCAATTTTGATTATGAACTTTGTTGAATTTCAGTTACTATTGAGTTGTTCTGTACAGAGAGCACTATATATACAGAGTTATTTGATAATCACAAGACGTTTATCATAGACAATCTAAATTATGGTCAGCTCCAGAAAACCAACGGTTGTAGGAGCAACTGGGGATAGACCGGGGTTCGATACCGTGATTCCGCGGTCGTACATTCGCTGGATTTCTTCCCTGCACTCCATCAACGACTTATCGGGTATGGCAGGAGTTAGCTCAACCACATCACCCATCTTTAGCTTGCACTTTGGATCGTTCACTCGCTCGTGGTTAACCCTTAGTCTCAAGTCTTCTTTCATGGGAAAGCCATGGGAGGTCGATCTCGAGCTTCCTCGCCCAATTCTTTTCATTAAATCTGTGATCGTCGAATTTGCAGGGAACTCTTGAACTGACATCTGCAGTAAGTAAAATACTGTTGTTCAATGACATCACTTAACCGAAGTCGATAACGTTCAACTAATATAACATGAAAACGAGTAACAAACCTTGTCATTCTCAATCATTACGATGAATACAGGTCCATCTTGAAAATCACATTGGGTTTTGTACGAATATGGACAGCCTTCAGAATGAGAAGGGAATTTGCAGTGTGGCTTAATGGAATCAGCGTTGCCAACGGAAGATCCATCTTTGCTCATAGCCATACACTGCCACGTGACAACCCATCGAGCCCATTCGACCATCTGAACGACGAACGAAGAGTACTCACTGTCACCCTCCTTATATCTCCAATGAGCTGCAATGCCGAACTCCGCTTGCAAATGCATCTCTTCTGTCCTAATTTGAACTTCAAGGGGCACCATGTCTTCAAACACTACAACCGTGTGTAGAGATCGATACCTTCAAATCATCGAGTCGAGTAAGAAATGGAAAGAACAAATAAATAAAGGATACAGGAGAAGATGTCATTTTGAGCCACAACATACCCATTAAACTTGGGTCGACTAATGTAATCTTTGCATCGTCCAGGCACTTCAGACCATAACTGGTGAACTATTCTTAAAGCTCTCAGGCAGTCTTCTTCGTTTTTTACAATAAGACGTAAGCCGTGAATGTCGTGGATTTCGTTCATGGCCAACTTCTTTCTGTGGATAAGAATGAAAAGTACACACTTTTAATGAGATTATGTAGAGTTCACTTCAGAATTCATAAATATCAGATCATGAATAGAAAAAAGCTAATTAACTTCATTGAACCTATTTAAGATCGGTGGGCTAACTTCATTGAACCTATTTAAGATCAGTGCTCAAGCCCACCGTTAGCAGATATTGTTATTTTTTAACTTTTCCTTAAGGTTTTTAAAACGTGTTTGCTAGGGAGAGGTTTCCACGCCCTAATTGTTCTCCTCTCAAACCAACGTGGGATCTCATGATCCACCTCCTTTGGGGGCCAGCGTCCTCGCTGGCACTCGTTCCCTTCTCCAATCAATGTGGGACTCCTCAATCTACCCGCATTCGGGATCTAGTGTCTTTGCTGGCACACCACCTCATGTCCACCCCCCTTCAAGGCTCGCTGGCACATCGTCCGGTGTCTGGTTTTGATACCCTTCGGTGACCAAGTTTTTTTTAGGAGGAGAACAAAGCATTCCTTATAAGGGTGTGGAAATCTCTCCCTAACAAACGCGTTTTAAAAACCTTGAAATAAAGCTCGAAAGGGAAAGTCCAAAGAGAACAATATCTGCTAGCGGTGTGCTTGGAGCGTTACATGAGGACTAAAGGACTAGAGGTGAAAATTGAAATGGAGAGTGAGAGAACATACCTCAACATTTTTAAGTATATGCTGTATAAGCTCTTATTGCGTCCAGATAAGAGATGGTAAGAAATCCCATCGATCTTCAGAGCTTCATCTAGTTTCTCAATAGCAGAAGTTACTCTTGCTGAATCAAATGACTCCACAAATTTAGAAGACAGTTCTTTATGCTCTTCCGGATGGAGATGCTTAAAGCATAAGTTTTCCAATTGCTCCTTCCAACTCAATATTCCTAAGCGATTAGCCAATGGTACAAATACTTCCAAAGTTTCCTTGGCAAATCTTAGTCGTTTGGTCAATGGCAATGCATCTAGTGTCGTCATATTATGCAGACGATCGGCCAACTTAACGAGAACGGCCCTCGTGTCTGCCATGGCAAGGAACACGGTGTGCAAGCGGTCTGCCTCGACCCTTTTGTTGGCTGTATTGTTCTCGCGTGCAAGCTTGCTCAAATGACTTAGTTGAGACACCTTAAACAATCACAAGGTGAAATTTAGCAGACAAGAAGTTTGAAGTACTGTCACGAATGTAAAGCAAAAATTGACTTTAGTACAGAACTGCGTGAGAAAAGCAAAACTGCAAGGTTTTTAAAATGCGTCGGCTAGGGGAGGTTCCACACTCTTATAAAGAATGCTTCGTTCTCCTCCCCATCCGAGGTGGGATCTCACAATTCACCTCCTTTTAGGGCTCAACGTCCTCGCTGGCACTCGTTCCCTTCTCTAATCAATGTAGGACCCCTAATCCACCCCTAAACTCCCCAACCAATGTGGGATCTCGCAATCCACCCCCTTCGGGGCCCAACATCCTCGCTGACACTCGTTCCCTTCTCCAATCGATGTGGGACCCCCTAATCTCCTTTGGGGCCAGCGTCCTTGTTGGCACACCGCCTCGTGTCCACCCCTCTTTGGGGCTTAGCCTCCTCACTGGCACACCGCTCAATGTCTGGCTCTAATACTACTTGTAACAGCCCAAGCGCACCGCTAGCAGATATTGTCGTCTTTGGACTTTCCCTTTCAGGTTCTCTCAAGGTTTTTAAAACACGGTTCTAAGGGGAGGTTTCCACACCCTTATAAAGAATGCTTCGTTTTCCTCCCGACCGATGTGAGATCTCACACAAAGCATCTAAGATCAATTATAGTACACAATAGACAGAGATTTCACCACATGCTCTAATCAAAGTTAAGTTCACATAACAGACTCCACATGTGGTTACACATCCAGAGCTCATAGGCTCTAAACCCAATCAACATTCATCAACATTCATCGGTGCCTAATCAAATTACATGAGAAAAATTTTACTCACCTCTTCAACTAAATCAGCAACCCCAACTCCAACTGTCCCTAAAATGTAGTCATAACACATGAATGAATCATCGATCGCGTCGTGCAGAAGTCCTGCAGCAACCACCATGGAATTTGCACCGATCATAGCCAGCAGCATCGCTGTTTCCACACAATGTTGTAAGTACGGATCTCCACTGGCTCGCATCTGCAAAGAAAGAACACGAGTTTAATCATCTTCACTAATGCCACGGATCGAAACAGGGGGGATATTCATGAGAATGAACTCATACTTGTCCTCTATGTGCCTTTTCAGCTTCATAAAATGCCTTGATCACGAATTCATCAAGAAAGATCTTATGCCTAATTTGTGCACCAAGAAGCATATCCCTTGCATATGGCTCGGGGGTACATTCCCCAAACCCATCTTCCAAACTGAAAGTCAACTCATCCATGAGCACAGCCGATGAACTCACATCAAGAGCATTTCTGTGAGCATCCACATATGATCCTGAAGCATTCCTCAAGAACCCGTTGAAGAGTCCATTCGATCCAACTCCAATTGAGCTCTGGAAATTCATTTCCCCACTTTTTTCTCTCGAATTCAAAATCGAAATCGGAGGACTTTTCGCCAATGAACCAACTCCACTACTACAGCACGAAACCGGACCCTGGAACACTGACACCGGGCTACAATCCCTTGTCAATGGAGACCCTAAATACTTGCTCGAAGAATATCGAAATGAGCTACTCAATTCCTCCCCTCTATCATGCCATAACGATCCCAATTCCTCTCCACAACCGGAAAGACTCGTCGTTGACGATACATGCCGGACCGGAGAAGCGGAGAAAAGGCGCGAAAGCCCACCGGCCACTGGCTTCTGAGAAGCCATTGCTGTTGACAACGCCGATGAAGATCGAGAACCAGTTTCGAAATCGAAACTCGAATGAGCATTGATCTGACACAGATGTGTAGAGCAAAATCTGCTCGGTGAACCGGCGTATAAAGCAATCGTTGTTACTCCCATGTTCTTGAGCACAGCAAACTACTTGCCGCTCCAACTCAGATCGCAATCGCACAGTAACGATTAACTTCTTCTGATCACGAACCAACTAATTTCCTCGCTAATCCGACTAATTTAGTATCAAACTCAACACAAAAACCAAGAATCGAACAATTTTATACGGCTGAGACGAAAGAAATACACAATAGACTGCAAATTTCCTCAATGACCCACTAATAAACTCAATAAACCCAATCAGTAAACGAAAAACACAGCACTATAATCGAAGAACAATCAACTTTCAGAGAGATTCGAAACTTTTCTCCCTCCGAAAGAAGTGGAAACGGCACCGAACAACAGAAGAAGAGGAAACAAAAATCTGAACGAAAAAAGAAAATCATAAACGATGTAAAAGAAAACTATACAGATTTATACAAAACGAAATGAAAAAATGAAAAAGGAGGAAGAAAATACCCTGGAATTGAACTAAAATTAGAACGAAACTTGAAGAAGTGTCGAAGACGAAGAGGGAATTGGTGAGGAAAAAATGGAAAGGAACAGCGAGAGCTTTCTATTTGCATTACAATACAGCGAAGCCTAAATAAAATGAGAAAATCTGGAAACAGTGAAATTACGAAAATGTCCTCACATCAAAATAACTGCTGTATTCCATATTAGGGGTCTGTTTGGCAACGAATTTAGGTTTGACAACTTACTGCTAAATTTTCTTAATTATTTTAAAGAATTTGTTAAATTATAATTACCTCTTTAATTGGAAATCTAAATTTAAATTTTTGTGGCCATTAATTTAATTTTTATTTAAATATCTAAATACCTATTAATTATAAAATCGAAAAAAAAAATATTAGGGCCAATTACTTTTTTTAACCACTTATTAAATACAAATTTAAATATTTAATGACTAAACTTGCCATTAATTTATTGCCTAAAAAGGACAAAAATTAAAAGATTTATTTAATAACAATTTAATTTTTAGTTTTTAATTATTTTATAATTAAACTTACCAGTATTGTTTTTTTTTTATCTTTAATTTAGCTAGAAATTTGAATATTTACTTAAGAATAATAATAAAAAAAAACAATAAACCAAACATAATTTCCTATTTATTTGATTGATATTAGACTTTAAAATTATTTAATTGATTCATATATTTTCTAAGTATTTTCTAAGTTTTTTAAATTAAAAAATTATTGATGATTTTTTATATATAAAAATAATACCCATATTCGAGCACAGAGATTGGGATTCCAATTCCCACCGGAAAATGTACGTGGCCTTCTTCCCGGCCAAATGAACGCCGGAATTTGGATTCCGACGAGGATGGAATTTAGAAAATATTATTTTATTAAATTAATGCTCATTTATTTCGATATATGCTTCCATGGATTCGAATTCCCAATAATTTCACTTAAATTTTATTTTATTCTTTATATAATTTAAAATAAATATGAAAATTTTCATAATTAAAATATTATTTTTCTTATGTGTCGACAAAATAAGGCAACATATTCAAGAATAAATAAAGGAAAAAAAGTTGGGAATAAATCCAAAATATAATATATTTTTTTTCAAGCTTATCGCAAAGCCTAATTAATATTAAATAAATTATTAGAATTATTGCGTCATTGAGAGAAAACCACTTTTAAATAAAGTGTTTTCCCCAGGATTTTGATACAACGGGCCGGTAGGGCTTAATTTCTAAATTACTTTGAATTTTTTAAAATTTTTAAAATTTTTAAAATTTTATTTTAATGAAAATGTTTTATTTAAAAAATAACTCTAAAATTTCAGTTTCATTAGTATCTTTCGACTCAAAAAATTAAAAAAATATATTAATATTAATACCATATTTAAGAAAATATTCATAAAATTTTAAAAATAGTATAATTAACGAAATTATTTGTCTAAATTTCAGAGATCTTCAAACTTGTTTATTTTTTCTAAAGTGCAAGAGTATTAGCGATAAGGGTATTTTTGTAATTTTGAATTTTGAATTAAAAAAATTAGAGGTATTAATGAATTTTTTAAAATTTGACCATATATTTGAAACCTTTTTGAAAATTAAAGTTAGTTTTTAAATATTTTTTTTAAAATTTAATGGTTTTTTTTAACAAATTATTTTTGGTATTATTGAAACTTAGAAGTTAATATATATTTTTATTAATTTATAATACCTGGGAAAAAATCTAAAAATTAAATATATGTTGGGTGTTATATAATAAATATTATCATAATTTTATATAAATAAAATATTATAAATTATTTTACTAGATAATTTAGGAAAATTAAATAAAAATGCTTGAATCCTATTTGGCGCTCGTTAGTGGATATCGCTTACGTCGGCAAATATTTATCTCTTATTATTATATTTTTATTGTAATTATCGTCATAGTTATTTTAAACGAGTTTGACAATTTCCTCAATTTTAAAAATATTTAATTGGAGACTAAAATTAATTTATAAAATATAATAGATTATTCCAAATTATTTTTAAAATCCTTGATTAGTGACACATTAACAAAAAAAAAAAAAAAAGTCAACTAAAAAATTAAATTATGTTTACTTTTGTGTTGGAAATTGATGATAGATAATTTAAGGTTTGGTTTAATAATTATTTTGCTTATTTATTTTTTAAATTATTAAAAAAAAAAACAAATATATGGAGACAACCTTTACTAATTTGTACTCATTTTTTAAATTATTGAAAAATGGTTATTTTAAAATTAATTTGAAAAGATATAAAAAGGGTAGTATTGGAATTTCGAGGTAAATCGATCCGGATTTTAATTGTCAAATAAAAAGAAAATTTGGACTTTTCCAATTGGGGGAATGTAGGGGCTAGCACGTGCCCGATCGCTTTGCAAAAAACCACACCACGTGATCGGGTGGGCTGTCTATGAAATCACTTAACTTGGCTCGAGGCAAGTTTAATATACTTTTTATTTATATTAAATTATGAAAATTAATTAGATATTATTTAGTAATTATATAATTCTCTCCGTTAAAAAAAAATATATATATAATATAATAATCGTTTTTCTTTTATTTGTCTATGAATTCGTGAGCTCATTCAGTTATTGGGCCCAGAATCTTCAATAATGGGCCTACTTGATAAAGCCCATCAAGTCCCAACAGACTAGAACTCAAAATTACTAATTTACCCTTCATAATGCAGGACTGGCGGATGGTACTTTGGTCAATGGCGGTCTTCCCATGAGCAATTTAATGACTAATTTGGCGCGTGCATGACATTTTTTGACAATCGCGTGAGGATTATTCAGTTATATCATGTGGAGTTATATTCCGAGAAAAGGGAACACGTCGGAAGTATTTTTTTAATTGCCAACTTTACCCTCCTTTTTTTAAAAAAATATTAATTAACGCTAATCCGAATTTCCAACCATTATAATCTCACTTTATTTTGTTTAAAATCAATTATTTAATTAAATAGTTATTTTATTTTATATCTTAAATATTATATTTTATGAAATCTTGGAGGATTATATGAATTAGAATTAAAAAAAAAAAAAACACGATTTATCCAATTTTTTTAAAAATATTTATTATTTATTTAATTTCCGCTGGGACGATAATTACAAATTATCGTATAAATTGGCAACTTCCTCCAAATCACAAACCCTAGAGGGGAGAACAGGAAAAGAGAGGGAAAAGGGAAGGAAAAAACGAAAACGCCCACGAATTAAGTTCCATTAGAAAGCTTCCTAAAACACTACGCATTATAAAGATCCGTGAATTGATCTGAATCCATTAATAAAAGGTAAGCTTTCTGAGAACTTAATCTCGATCTCTCTCACTGCTGTTCTTCACTTCACATCACAAACCTCACAAAAACCCTTGAAGAATTTTTGTTCCTAATCTGGCTTGTTCTTTATGTAATCGCTGGTTTGCAGTGATTCTGCATAAGGTATTGATAATATCTTTTTTGTTTGATTTTGGGCTGTGGGTTTGAGGTTTTAAGCGCCATGGATGACTTGGAGAAAGCAATACTTATCATGTTTGATGAAACGAGCAATGTGGATTCCAACTTAAAATTAAAGGCTAATGAGTATTGTGATAAGGTCAAAGCGGAATCGGCAATATGTAGTGTGTGTGTTGAGAAGCTTTGTTTTTCGAACATGGTTCAGGTTCAGTTTTGGTGCTTGCAAACACTTCATGAGATTATTCGGGTTCGTTATCCGTGGATGAGTGTCGATGAGAAGTATTTCATTAGAAATTCAGTGTTTTCCATTGTGTGTTTGGAGGGTATTGATGAGAACCACGCACTTCGAATTTTACGGTGTCCTGCTTTCATAAAGAACAAGCTTGCTCAAGTTTTGGTAACATTAATTTACCTCGATTACCCGTTAAATTGGCCTTCTGTTTTTGTTGATTTCTTATCTCATTTGAGAAAAGGGCCCGTGGTGATTGATATGTTCTGTCGGGTTCTGAATACATTGGATGATGAGTTGATTAGCATGGATTACCCTCGAACGCCTGAGGAAGTGACAGCTGCTGGGCGGATTAAGGATGCCATAAGACAACAGTGTGTCTCGCCAATTGTTGGAGCTTGGTATGACATTTTGTCTATGTATAAGAATTCTGATCAAGAATTGTGTGCAAGTGTGTTGGATGCGATGAGAAGATACATATCTTGGATAGATATTGGGTTAGTAGTAAATGATGTGATTTTGCCATTGTTATTTGAGTTAACCTTAGTTGATGGGCTGCTGGAACAACTTCGTGGTGCTGCAGCAGGGTGTTTACTGGCAGTTGTTTCGAAGCGGATGGATCATCAGGCAAAACTAACCCTGTTGCAGAGTCTACAAATAAGCCGGGTTTTTGGTCTGGTTGCTGCTGAAGATAGTGACTCCGACTTGGTTGCAAAGGTAGCTAGCTTACTTACAGGTTATGCCGTTGAGGTTTTGGAGTGTTTTAAACGTTTGAGTTCCGAAGATTCGAAGAGTAATTCTTTGGAGCTGCTAAATGAAGTTTTGCCGTCTGTTTTCTATGTATTACAAAAATGTGAGTTGGACTCTGCTTTTAGCATTGTGCAATTCCTTTCTGGTTATGTTGCCACCATGAAGAGCCTTTCTCCACTGACGGAGAAACAACTTCTTCACTTGAGTCAAATATTAGAAGTGATCCATGCACAAATCTGTTATGATCCTGTATACCGACACAATCTTGATATCCTAGATAAGATTGGGAGAGAAGAAGAAGGTAGAATGGTGGAGTTTAGGAAGGATTTATTGGTACTTTTACGTAGTGTGGGTCGTGTAGCACCTGATGTAACTCAGTTGTTTATTAGAAGTTCAATAGTAAGTGCTGCTGCTTCCTCATCAGATCGAAATGTTGAAGAGGTAGAAGCTTCACTTACACTTTTCTTTGCATATGGGGAATCAATCAGTGATGAAGTATTGAGAAATGGAAGTGGACTTATTGGGGAGTTGGTGACAATGCTTTTATCCACACGGTTTTCTTGCCATTCTAACAGGCTAGTTGCACTTATATATTTGGAAACAATTTTTCGATATATAA